CAGTCACTGGTAGTTCTACTCATCATGATCTCCTTACAGCTACTGATGATGAAGGATCCACTGTATTACATACAGCTTGCAGTAATGGCCATATTGATGTGTTTCGTTATTTATCCAGTATTTATCCTCAAGGTGTTAATGTAATGGATAATAGAGGATGTAGTTTACTTCATAAAGCATGTGAAGGAGGCCATGTTCCTGTTGTACTTTATCTCACTAGTCTTCCTCAGTGTAATGTAGTAGCTAAGACTTCTAATGGATCAACAGTTCTTCACATTACCTGTGAGTACAGTGACTCTCTTCCTATACTCAAATATCTGGTAGAGAATCAACAGTTAGATCTGTGTGCTGTGAATGATGAGGGAATGGCTCCTATTCACTTAGCATGTATTAAGGGAAGATTGAACTTGATCCAGTACATTATAGAACACATACCATCATCACTTGAACTACCTCACAGTAAACATGGTCATACTCCATTCCTTATTGCAGTGTACTTCAATCAGTTAGAAGTTATTAAATATCTTATTAGTAAGAAGTGTAATCTATCAGCTACTGATGGTGGAGGGTCTGGAGCAGTTCACATATCTGTAGAGAGGGGTCACTTGAATGTATTGAAGTATCTCATTGATAATTATTATTGTAATCCTAATGCAACCAATCATCAAGACCGTACACCACTACATTTTGCTGTAGCAGCTAAACAGTTTGAAATATTAGAATATTTATTAGAAATTGAACCATGCTTACTTATTAACGCACAAGATAAAGATGGTCACACACCATTACACTTTGCTTGTATGAGAGGACAGCAGAAGATGGTATCACTTCTAACCAGCTCTACTAATATCAATATATTAATTAATAACAAGAAAGGACAGACACCATTACACTTAGCAGCTGCCTCTGGTCATAAGGATACCGCTAAAGCTTTACTGTTCTCAGTTACTGGTAGTTCTACTCATCACGATCTCCTTACAGCTACTGATAATGAAGGATCCACTGTATTACATACAGCTTGCAGTAATGGCCATATTGATGTGTTTAATTATTTATCCAGTATTTATCCTCAAGGTGTTAATGTAATGGATAATAGAGGATGTAGTTTACTTCATAAAGCATGTGAAGGAGGCCATGTTCCTGTTGTACTTTATCTCACTGGTCTTCCTCAGTGTAATGTAGCAGCTAAGACTTCTAATGGATCAACAGTTCTTCACATTACCTGTGAGTACAGTGACTCTCTTCCTATACTCAAACATCTAGTAGAGAATCATCAGTTAGATCTGTTTGCTGTGAATGATGAGGGAATGGCTCCTATTCACTTAGCATGTAGTAATGGAAGATTGAACTTGATCCAGTACATTATAGAACACTTACCATCATCACTTGAACTACTTGTCAAAGGACATGGTCATACTCCATTCCTTACTGCAGTGCTCTTCAATCAGTTAGAAGTTATTAAATATCTTATTAGTAAGAAGTGTAATCTATCAGCTACTGATGATGAAGGGTCTGGAGCAGTTCACATATCAGTAGAGAGGGGTCACTTGAATGTATTGAAGTACCTCATTGATAATAATTATTGTAATCCTAATGCTACTGATCATCAAGACCGTACACCACTACATGTTGCTGTAGCAGATGATAAATATGAAATATTAGAATATTTACTGAGTAAGAGTATACCCTCAATGAGTGTTGTCTGGTTACGTGAGATAAAGTATTTATTAGACAGTCCTCATGACATATACAATAATCCACATAATGCTGTACTTATTAATGTACAAGATAAAGATGGTAATACACCATTACATGTAGCCTGTCAACGTGGACGACAGAATATGGTATCACTATTACTAAAAGCCAGTCTGTCTAACAATAACTTATTAATTACTAACAAGAAAGGACAGACACCGTTACACTTAGCAGCTGCCTCTGGTCATAAGGATACCGCTGAAGCTTTACTGTTCTCAGTCACTGGTAGTTCTACTCATCATGATCTCCTTACAGCTACTGATAATGAAG